TGTCACATAATCATCGCTTAGTTCACACCTGGCTATTACTATTATTTAATTTAAAAATAAAAAAGTCCAGTAATGTTTAGTGCAGAATAAAAGATGCAACCATGTCCATAGCAAAAAAGCAAACATTTACAAGAGATGCAAGTCAAATGGAAGAGTATGTATTTAGAAAAAAAAAAGTAAAAATAACACTTAGGCATTAATGAAACTGAAATAGCCTAGATCATGTTGGCCCAAATCCTGGATCTATCAATTACTGTCTATGTGACTAACATATTTTGAAAGTTCCCTAAGTCTTCATTTTCCTGGTCTGGACTATAGGGGATATAACTTTTCTACTGCACATTATAGCTATAAGGCTTAAAAGGCAGAATTATAGCCTTAAAGGGCAAGCAGAATAGTGAGCCAGAAATGTTATATCTGCAATAAAGAACTCCAATCTAGACCTGACATAGTCTCCCAGCAGATGGAACCATGTCTGTGCTAGCCCTGCTAAGCTTTCTACAGGGGCAAAGACTTTAACTGGCAGCAAGGCATAAAGAATATTTGCTAAATAAAAAACATGACGTAAAAATGTAGAGTTTCTCTAGACAGGCAAAAATGGGTAGGTAACTTAAAGCCAAGGTTAATCCAGCTACCATGACACTCACATTTCAGACTTGAAAAGGAAAACAAGACCCTCAAACTCTAGTACCTTGAGTTTATGAACTAAAAATTAAGAACAAGTGTCTATGTAGGCTGTTGCTTTATAAAACTGGCAACAACCTGAGCCATTAGGTTGATATCCAACACCTTCTTAATTAGCAAAATCTAAAAGCCAAATAGATTTTGCAGTGACATACTTATATCCAAAGAATTCCCTTCTCTCTTAAATCAGTAACACTGGGGCTAAAAAATTTATGTCCAAATAAAAGTAGCTTGCTCTTTGATCACCTCCCCCTGAGGGAAGAGCAGTCTTACCAGGCCACAGAAGATGACAATGCAGCCACTCCTGATGTGATCTGATAGACTAAGATCAGAAGGAAGGAGAGGAGGACCTCCTCTATCAGTGGACTTGGGGAGGGGCATGCGTGAAGAAGGGAGAGGAAGGGTAGGATCGGGAGGGGAGGAGGGAGGGGTTTATGGGGGGATACAAAATGAATAAAGTGTAAAAAACAAAAAGTTGCCTCTATCTTCTTCCCTCTGTTCATTCCTCTTGAGAACTGAAGGACTATGAAAGCACCTAGTTCTCATGAAGCACAGTACAGAACTGGCTTAGCCATTAGAAGATGGAGATGATGAAATGATTTTCTTTCTATGAATGGTTGAAAATCACACTTCCTCTCAGAGGCTGAAACATTAACATTGAAAATAAGATTGCAATACTAATCTTTCCTTTGCAAGTGGTGTTCGCTTTCAGAGTACAGAAGCAGGCTTTGTAGGAAGAGTTTTACAAAGTGCAATCAGCCCTGCTCCTGCTACTCTTCCCGGTAAGGGGAAGAATCTGCAACCACCTTCTATACGAGGAATATACAGGGAAGGTCTTTCCCCTTTAATCTTACCATAAGAAACATTTCCATCATTAACAAATACACTATACCATAGCATGCTTCTCTTACACACTTATCCTGGAAAGATTCACCTCAATTCATATCATTGGCTCACTTCATAAGCCTTACATAAAATAAATGGGTCCATATTTAAAAAATCTTTTTATAGGATTAATGAGGTGTGTGTGTGTCTCTGTGTATGTGTGGTGTATGTGCATGATTGTATGTCCAGAATAGGATGTTGGATGTCATGCGTTAACGTTTTCTGTCTTATTTCTTTAACATAGGATCTTTCACTGAACATCCTCCAACATCACCCAGCAATCCTCTTGTCTCCACAGCTCTGGGTTGCAGGTTCACAAAACTATGCTTGGCTTTTTACATAGGCTCTGACAATGTGAACTCAGGTCCTGCCTTTGTAGCAAGTACTCTAACTGCTATGACAAACCCCCAGTTCTGATTATCTTTAAAATTAGTGCTTGCTTTGGAGTTTTCTTATAAACATCTAGCCTAAAGATTAAAAAAAAAAAAATCTTAATTACCTTTGGCTTTCCAGAGGAAAAACTCCAAAGTGTGCATGTCTTCAAATGTTCTGTCTGAATATCTAAAAAGTACATCTTACACGTAAAACTACATACCCAAACTAAATATCTAAAATTACAAAGTTACATGTGAAAGCAAAAAACAAAAGGAAAATAACAAGACTTGAAGTTAACAAGATCACATTATCTCAAAAAAAAAAAATTCCATCTTAGTTAGAATATAAGCCTAAATTAACCACTCCTTGTTTGCCTGTGACTTACAAATGGTAAAATCCCACCAAATCCCACCATTCTCAGCACCTGTACATGCCAACCTGGCACTGAACACATTCACGTTTAGGTACCAACCCAATTTTCTCAGATTCTCTTAACAGGGCATCAACTTGTCCTCTCTCCCAAACACGCCTCTTATCTTCCTTCCACCAAAGCATCATGTTTGCTTTGCCATTTCCAACTGGCTGTGACATGCGTTTGTAACACAATTTACCTGTAGACACTCCACCTGCTCAACCTTCTGACCCGAATTTAAATGTTATCTACTCTTAAGAACCAGTGTGGCCAGTGTGAAAGCTTGTTCTGATTCTCTAAAGCAGTCTCTTTGTTCTTGTTTCTTACAGGGCATATGATTTTGCATCCCTCTGGCCTTGATTTCCTCCTGGATCGTGAGCCTGTGTGTGGTCAACACCTGTTCTATTCAGACATGTAGGAAAAGCAGAGGACCATGTATGGCTATAACCTAGAACCCCTGCTTGGGATGTAGCCCATGGTAGCTCATTAACCAAGTGGGTTTCCCTAGTAAGGGGAATAGGAACTATTTCTGACATGAACTCAATGACTGGCTCCTATAACTCCCCCCCACCCCCGCCCACCTAGCCTCTTGAGGAAGGAACAGTCTTGCTAGAGGATGACATGGCAGCCAGTCCTGAAGATACCTGATAAGCTATGGTCAGATGGAAGGGGAGGAAGACCTCCCCTAGCAGTGGACTTGAAAGGGGCAGGGAGGAGATGAGGGAGAGAGGGTGGGATTGGGAGGGAATGAGAGAGGGGGCTACAGCTGGGATACAAAGTAAATAACCTGTGATTAATATACAAAAATAAAAATTAAAAAAAGAAAAGAAAAAGCAGATATCAAATGAATGCTTTTGACTTCTAAATCCTCCAGTCCAACTGCAGAGTATCGGTCTCTTCAATGTGACACCAAGAAAAGAAACCCGGAGGAAATAAACACCTCCTTCCTTGCTGAGAAAATTGTGGCTAAAAAATTCATTAGTCCAGATCTGCCAGTCTTGGCCTCAAGAGATATTTGAAAATTTCTCTAGAAAAAGATGCCTTGGGCATATGACGATGGGCACTTAGTTCAGATCAAGGGTACCTCTGCTTGTACATGCGTTCACAAGCTAAAATAAGTAAGAAGCTGCCTTAAGTATGGACTATCTGAGACTGCACGCTCCTTTCCTAAACAACACAAAATACTTCCATTAGATCTGGGGTGGCTGAGTGTTCAATTCAGAGTCATCGCTTAACAAAATCCCCAAACAAACCACTGCTAAGTGACAAAAGTCAGTCACAAAGCAATGCATGGTACAACCTCACTTAAGTATTCAGAAAAGGGCAACTCAACGGAGACCGATGTATACTAGCTGCAGCTTGGGGCTATGGGTGAGATTCAACTCCTGTGAGTGGGCAGGATGGATCTCTTTGGGGTGCTGAAATGTCCCTGGCCTACATTATGGTGATATTAAATAACAGTAAATTTATTAATGTCACTGAATTAGATATTGAAAATGAGTTAATCTTATGATATATAAATCATACCTCAATAGCATTCTTAAAAATGCAGCAATGGAAGGGAACTACTAGCAATAATAATTAACAATGTACTCGAGTTGGGCAGTGTCCCATGTTAACCTCTAATGAGCTATCATTATTACACATTAACCAAAGAAAAAAGGAATTTTTCCAGTGTTGTAGCTTTTGTGGATGAAAGCTAGTATCATTTATATTACACTAAAATTAAGCCAACCCATATTCATTCAATCTAGATCTAGAGGCAGCTTTTACTGTGGGGAAAAAAACAAAACAAAACAGTGCATACCCATTAAACACCTCAACCCCAGAAGACATTAATTGGCATGACATTTGGTGGTTTAATGTAAAATAAATATTCGCTTTCATTTCCTAGTGATGAAATGTCTTTTCAGTTCGCTTGGTTCACAACATTCTCAGGAGGAACATTAGCAGCTGGAGAGTGTCTAAGGTATCAGAACCACACCTGTTTCCTGAAGAAGATGCCTCCATACTTCCCAGTTAAACAATCAACACAAACTACCCATGTCGAATTTCACAGCATGAAACATAGTGACTCTCACCAAATCATACTAAAAATCACACTTAGTAAAAAAAATATTAGCTTTAGTAAAATCTATGTACAATTAGTAAAAATGAATAAAAACTATTCATACAAACAAAATTTATCAAAATTCTCTATAAGCCTGGCACAGTGAATGACCCAAACTCTAGTCCTTCCAGTCAAGGGGTTTCCAATCTAAGAGACAACAAATGCCCAAGGGCAATGTTGAGCAATGAACACCCACCACCAGGGGAGGACTCAGCACTTTCAAATTTGATGACTTCTTGCTAGGTGGTGTCTTATAAAACAGGCTAGGATTCCTTATACAGAATATACAGGCATAGAAAAGACTATGCAAACAGAGTGTGTATTAGTTTAATTTGATTGCTGGACTGCTTGTTAAACCAAACCAAACCAAACCAAACCAGCACCAGCAAAAACCCAAGTATAAGAAGCCTTGTTATATTAGAGAGAAAATGAGGGCAGGGGGCTAGGTGTAGTGTTGGCTGAAAAATCCCCTCCCCCTTATTTTGCTTTCTTTTATTCCAAGACATTTAGAAATAAAAATCCAACAGTGCTCACCTCGGACCACCTCCTCCACGGATTCGGTGGTGGTGGTGGTGGTAGTGGCGATGCTGGTTGTTCTCTCTGTTGCCTCTTCGTAGGGCTCCTCGGCCTCCTCCTCCACCTCATCCCCATCCTCCGCATCCTCGTCATCATCAGCTTCTTCTTCCTCAACATCAGCCACTTCCTCCTCCTCTGCTACTTCTACCACTTTGTCCTCACTGCAAGAACAAATAAAAATAGCTGTGGAATACTCAGCCAAATGGATTTAGGAAAGCAAAGAAAAATCAAGGGACTCTGATAATTGAACTGAACTGAAGAAAAACACATGGAAGGTTAGAAGCAGGCTAAGTAGGAACTCTAGGTCTACAAAATGATTCACAGGCGGACATGGCTTTCTTTTGTTTAAAGGTTGCAAGAAGAAGACACCAGGACTCCAATTATATGACACTGTGGAGAAGGCAAAATTATGTACTGTAGGAAGACAATATGGATGTAATCATCTATGTACTGAGGCACACATGGCAGGTAGTAATCGGCAAGGAAAGATCGTTTAAGGACATATATAGGACACAATTTAAAAGGCTACTAAGGAATCCCCGCGAAAAGCATCTGGCTGCCAGTGCAAACTTAGCCAAAAGCACTTGAAAGAAGATAAAGGGAGGAGAGCCTACCCTGTATTGCCTGGTAGGAAAGGACAGAGAGATGCACTGGATCAGACCATAAAAGCAACACAAGACAAATTTGTGAGACTGAGACTCTCTGCCACAGTTCTGTCAAATGAGAAGCACTACACAAATGGGAGGAAGAGAGGCCATACCCAGGTAAATGTCCCTAGCATCAAACAGAGAACACAGGAATTGTCACCCTGATATTGCTTGTGGTCAGCAACCAGGAGCTTGTAGCTGGGAAAAGCAATGGGAATTTATAGGAGCCGTGACATGGCGATGCTTTGTAATGCAGTGTTGGTGCTGGAGAGGTCAGCTGTTAAAGGCTAGGGGAGTGTAGGTCCAGTGCTACAGACCGTATCAGATTTCATCTGAGCTGGTGAGTGGGATGGACCCAGCCATGATTTGCAATGCTTCTTGAAAGCTGAAAGACTTTCAAATTCAGTGTCTGACAGCATAGCAGTGAGATATTTTGCTGAAAAATGAAAAGGAAGAAGAATGCAAAGAGATGAATGTAGTACGGAGGAACTGCTCTGATTTCCTCCATACTCCAGGGATACTCTGTGCAGGCTGTATAATGGATGAGGCATCCAAGGCCCTTGGATGCACACACAGGATGCAGCACTTTAAAAAGATTCTATAAAAATGTGCCTGGCTTCTCAAAAGTCATATCCCCAACTCTGCTGAAATACGATGAAAGGACAATATACCCTGAAGCAGCTGGCTAAAATGTAAAGATGAAATAATTAAGCTGAATAATTTACATACACGTTAATGCATAACATATTGATAGGTAGGAGACTACAACTGATTTCACATTTTCATTAAGACCATGAAGAAACAGGTGAGAAAACAAAGATCAGACCCTAATCAGATGGGCTAAGCCTCTATCTGCTTCAATATAAATAATGCAATAATGGGTGAAATAATGGATTTCTTGATTTCCTGCACAAACACTTCTCTGCACACGTCTCCTGCTCAAGACCACATTTCAAAAATGAAACCTACAGCTGGCCCAGATCTTATTTGTGGTACATTTTTTGTTTTTTTTAAAACAATCTCAAGGTTGTTCTTCTAGTGACTGAAACTAGAGGTGGCTTACTGCACAACAGTAGTTAGTTTCTTGTGTCTGGGGCCTCTTCTTTGTCCAACCAAATCACAGTCACAATTCTCTTGGTTCCTCCAGTGTTGGTGGTAATTCAAAAGCAAAGGCGGGGAGAAAAGTTAAATCAAGCCAGGATTCTCAGGCCATGAAATAACCATGATCTTGGCCCAAACTGGTATGACAATGTTCAAGTGTATGGTCCTGGGCTGTCAGGTAGGGTGAAGAAAATACTTGTCTTTCCACCCTCCATTACTACTTGAATGCTGTCTTTAAAGCACCACGCAGAAGCCGGGCTGTGGGGAGAGCTGTTTAAAGCAATCTGCATTCTGGTGTGTGTCTAGGCAGGAAAAAGAAAGAATTGAATGCCCATCATCTCTGCATCTGCCTGTGTAATTTACTGTCATCACAACAAAGAACTGAGATGCATAATAGTTCAACTGGCTGAGAAATTAAATTACTTGCCCTAAGAGAACTCAGGTCCAGCTCTTATAACCATAGCTCTGATTTCTGGAATTAAATTTAGATGTCCATGAATTCAATTATCTATTTGGACACTATTTAAAGCAGAAGCACACAACTGTGCTTTAATGATGCTGCATCTTCTCCAAGAACCCTGACCGTGCCGTTCTTACAACTTCTAATTGTAGCTTTTAGGACTAACAGGAAGCATTAAGAGGTGGGAACATGCTTTTCTGCCAGCAGCTGAGAGGCCCGACGGTTAGCTGTTCTGTGATGTAAGAAAAGCAAGACTATTGTAAGGCTGAGCACAATGAAAGAAAACAAAAGGAGGAAGAAGCTTGTGAAAACGTGAGGCTGACTGATTTCTTGGTAAACCAGGCAAGAAACACCGAAAGAAAATTAGTCGGTAAGATGGTGGAATGTTCCCTACCTGTAAAGGCTGTCAACACACAGCAGATGCCCTTTCTAGATATTAAACACTAATGATGAGAAATGCTTCTTCAGAAGGGAAACTGAAACTCCTGACTCTCCTAAGAATATCTGGATGCCCTGAGAGGGTCAGAGGGACAAGGAAGTAAGCACTGATCATGCAATGTTATGTCAACATTCAAGGCTGTTCTTTGGTGGAGGACAAGCACTATCATGAAGGTTAATGTCCGTTTCCCACAAGGCTGAACTTGATATATGCACCTGATGTCGCCATTTGTGAGTCTCCTTAGGCAGCATGATTCACATACCAGCTTCCATTCCTCCTTATGAAAGTCATGCCAAGCATTTTGCCATCTGCATTCTCTGAAACGGTCATATGACATTCTGTCCACAGGGAAAGAGTAGATGAAAAGAATGGCTGCTCAGTGCTTGAGGCTCAGGGAGGAGTGAGCCACTCTGCAAGATAGGATAGTGGGCCCACACATACATCATCATGAACATGTACTTCTCTGGCAGGCACACTGACACTGGCTTGAAGACCTGAAGTAAGGGGTAATTGAAGGTCTTGGTACCTCCTGTCCAAACTTGCTTGTGAGCCCAAAGCTGCTCTAAAGTAACTTATAAATGAATGAAAGACTTTTAGGAGTTTTATTTATTGTTTCCTAGTCTCCGTCAAAATTGATTTTGGTTTTTCTCTTAGCTGCCATAGAAACTGAGGAAAAGAAACAGCAGAGAGATGCTGTGATTTTCATGGCTATGAGATCATGAACCTCCACTACAGCAGTGATAAAAATAAGCAAAAACCAGTTCCTAAAATGTTGTGATCAATCAGAAGGCCAGAGGAGCACAACTGAAAAAGATGGGGGCTCAGACCTATGAATGCTGATGTGAGGGGAGCAAATAAAAGCACCAGGGTCTCTGGGAGTTTCCCCAAATCAGAGTGAAACATGGAAGAAATGAAGCTTGCTTTCCTGGTCCCCAGAAAATGTTCAGCATAGGACAGCCCAAGGAAGCCAAAGACTTGAAAACTCCCATTATGAAAGGCTGTCAGATGCTAAACACAAAATGTTCCACTTAGCCTACTTATTTACATATTTGTTTATGTTGCTTTGAGAGAAAATTTTACTCATAGCCTAAGATGCCCTTGATCTCATCATGATCCTTCTGCCTCAATCCCCTAAGTACTGGGATTATGATATGAACCATGATGTCCTACTCATTTATACAAACAATGAAAACAGACAAATGTCTAGGCAGATAAAATCAGGTGTTGTACAATTTGCTAAGAAGAAAGCTGGGATGTCATGGAAGGATGGCTGTCATGGAAGGATGGCTGTCATGGGTGGGTGTTCTAATTGGAGGCCAGCTACCTGGTCATGTTCAGTTTTTAAAATTCAGCAAGGTGTAGAGCTGTGTTATGTGTTCTTCATTTATACACACCCCATTTATACACTTCCCATTCAGGAAAAAAAAAGGCTTAAAGTGGATGCTCCTAAAATAATAGACTTTCTTCTTCTTTTTGGTTTTTGAAGATGGTTTCTTGGTGTAGCCCTGGCTATCCTGGAACTCACTTTGAAGACCAGGCTGGCCTCGAACTCACAAATATCCAGCTGCCTCTGCCTCCCAAGTACTGGAATTAAAGTGTACACTACCATTTCCCAGCTCAAAACCTTTTCTTATTGTAAATAATTGTGTTAGTCTGGGATAAGAACTCAGAGTAGCAATACTTAATCTTCATAGCCTCCAGATTTGCAAGCACATAATTTACTCAAAGCCTCCAGTACAATAAAGGTACTTATAAAAAAAGGAAGCAAAAACAGGGTTATGGTTTATGTATCTTTCAAATCTATAGCACCTACTATCAAGGCTTTACCTATCTACACTGAAGGAGATGAGTCAAATAAACTATTCTCTACATTGATTACTTCTTTAATTCAGATCTATTTACATAAAAACTTTCTTTTGATTCCTTAGAATTAGAATGTGTTTTCTATTTTACTCTACTTTGAATTCACTTTGAATTACTTGGTCAAAATAGTCTAAAACTATTTTATGGAAAACTTTAGAAAAAAAATTCACCGGCTTCAAGTAATTCTTATTACACTACTGTTATAATCACTCCATTTTAAGACTGTTAATTTTTTTTGTGCATAAGTACACACTCAACTTAATCATAGGTATGTAAAGAAAGCAATAAACGCAGTATATAGGGAACTTAGGATATGGGAGGTCTCTGTGATAACAGATCCCTTTGGGTTGCATTTCCTGTGGATATGAGAAACTAGTGCCTTGGTGACACACGGTAGTTAGTAGGGGTCATCAATCTTTCAGTTAGAAGTTTTTTAATAATCTGATGAATGCTCTTCTCAGGAGAAAGCCATAAGCTCCTTGTAGCAGATACTGTGAAAGTTACCCAAGGTCATTCTCAACTCCTTCTTCCCCTCCCTTGGCAAGAGAATGTAAGAACCAAATATAGCCCATTTATTAGTCCACATCGCTGCATCCCTTGCAGCTAGAAGGCCTTGTGACTGACACATTTCTCAAAAACCAGAAGCCAGGA